TACTTTTCTACCCATTTTTTTGGAGGAATCACCAATTCAGCGATACTCGCGACAAAAGCATTTGATAAAGCTTTAGCCCTTTTGGGATATTCTTGCTATATGTATCGAGCATCATCAACTAGCTGTAAACGTCTAGCAACATGATAAATACATATTTAATAATTTAAGAGCAAGACATAAGAACAGTCAGTGCGAGTATCCCATGTTAATGATATTATTAAAATACTCTCTCATGCCGAGCACCGCTGTGTCAGCTCCTTCGATCTTGAGCTGCATACCTCCAGTTGATAGCTACTGCCTGCTCGGCATATGTGTACCACTTCTTTAGAGGTTGCCAAAGTGATCTTTGCAAGAATCATATAATTAATGAAAGTATGAAAATACACCCAATTTCTCTTAGAAAAAAGCCAAAATCCCCCCTGTTTCAGTCCATGAGCATATCCCAGCTCCTTTTTTCGCCCGTGTAGTTGCTGGGAGTACAAAATATACTCCTCAGTGGTTCTGTTAAAACCTTCGTATTCCGTATCAATAATATGAGTATTTTTTTAAGATTTTTACACCTCTGTTGCAGAGTTAAGCTCGTCCACATTAGAATATCAGCGATATGGGTGGTGATGCTAAACATGATACCAGTGCATCAGGCGGTCAAGTTAAATCGAACAAAATGGGCCTGTTGGGTGCCATAAGCTATATTATTGGCAATATCGTTGGTGCTGGTCTTTTCGTCACACCAACTTCGGTACTCGAGCAAGTCGACACGGTATTTTTTGGCAAAAATTTGAGATTTAATCAACAATCGAATTTTTGATTGATGAAAACTTCAAATTTTGAGAAGTCTTGTTAACTAAAAAATTCAGTTTTAAAACGGATTCAATTTTAAAAACTCAATTTTTTCAATTTCGAAGAATTCAATTTTAAACTGGAGTTTCTAAAATCGATGAGAATTCCCGGACGATTGGTCTGAAATTCTGGTTTTGCTGGTGAAAGCTAAACCTGGTGCTTCTGTTTTCCAGTTTTCTGCCGTGTAAATTGTAAAATCCTCAGGAAGCCACCCAAACGATCGTTACTTTTTTGCGAATATCACTCACTAATACGTAACGTCCATCGGCTGTTAGCAAAGCGAGCGAAATGCTGGAGCTATCAAATCTCAATCCCTCTCAAAGCATGCGAGGATGTTAAAATCACCACCAGTTTGCTTGTAAGCAACCCTCGAATGAGGAAGCCATCGTCCAGCTGCTAGGATGCGGCCGCGACTGTTACTA